ACTGGCTGAAAGGGAGTCCATTAAGTTGGTTGGGGGAGCTTAGGATTTTACTTGTATTTCTTACAAGACAGCAATAGAACATTAAACCCCACGTGGGGCCCTTCTATGTGTGGCGTGTGTTTGCCTGCACACATACGAAGCTGGCTCTGTCTAGTAGTGAAATGTGAGCTTTATAAAGAAAAAGAACAGAGGAAAATTTAGAAAAAAACACTGTTTTCTGTCTAGCTCATTTCAATGAGCACAATGAATATAATTGAAATTAAAATTAAATGAAAACACTGAATGCTTAGCACCAGGCCTGCTATGGCTGTGCTGCCCACTCTCCTCCTCCAGGGCCAGGAAGGCTGTGTCTATTGCACTTGTGATTTTACTGACTTCACTGACTGTAGAACTCAATCCTCTCTCCTCCCAGCTGCTCCAGAACTCCTTCCCCACCTTCCACAACGCTTGCTCAACTTTCAACTTCGGAGTGCTAAGCTTTGCTCTGCCTTTTGTATTTTAATTGCTTTCTCTCCTGCTTTTAATGAGCAATCAGGGCTATTTCTTTATTGAGGATCTGCTGGCAAATTTCAAGCAGTGTGTGTTCATGTGAAAGGAATAGGTGAAATTGTATCCTCTGGCATTATTAGCTATAGGGAGGGGTTAAATAGACATCCATCTAAGGGAAAACGTCCACTTAACTTTCAGCCTTAATTCAAAGGAAATGTCAAGTATTCAACTAGATGCTTTGTGGCAACCGAAGAAAAGATTGGAAGGAGGGGTAGTGGAGATATCTGGGACTACAGCCACTGTGGGGAAATTAGCTTAGGTAGGTGTGTGCCTGTGTGTGTGCTGGTGCACTTGTGTGTTTCACGTCCCACATGCTCCGTCAGAATTAACTACTTAGCAACAAAGAGGCAGGAAATAAAGGCCAGAGTATTGTGGGCTAAGTTAGGAGAGAACATAAACCCATCATTGCAGAGTAAGGTGCCGTGTTAGTGCAGGGAATATTACATTTTAGGATTGCCTGGAAGGAATGGTCACTTTTGCCCCAGATCTTGTTATTTTGGGGAAGTGATTTGTAATAACGTTACCAGTACGGCATTTGTTTCTTCAAATTTCCATATTTTCTGCAACCACCCTGGCGCCCCACACTCAGTTGGCTGACAATACATGCAAGCTGATTGACGGGCAGAGATGAAGAAAGCCATGAAATGAGTTTCCTCCCTGAAGGAATGGAAGCCTTGGGCCTTCAATTAGTCCCTTTCCTCCCGGCTGGAACTCTTCAGTATGACAAAGGCATCAGGTTACAAAGGGATGTGGGGAATTGTCCTAGCAGGACCACAGATGCCACACATGTCCCGAACTCTCAGAGACAGCTGAGCTCAGTGATAGCAAACGTGGCTCTGTGTCTGTGCTGTTTTTATGGGACTCCCCTGTGCCCTGAAGGATGAAGTTCCTGGTTTACAGCTACAACAGCCATTGCCTCAAATGGGCAATTTGACCACTTAGCTCAAAGTGAGCAAATATTTTCTATGATTAAAAAAAATATTTTTTTTAACTAACCCATCAGAATGGCAAATGACATTTTAAAAAGGAAAGTTCTTCGATCCCACCACCGAAAGCTATTGAGAAAGGATTTGCTTTTTTCAAAACAGAGGACTGGACATTTGGACGTCCCAAGTAGTCCATTATGTCAACCCCAAGAGTGAACACGTCATGTGTGTTTGTGTGTGTACGTGTGCGGGCTTGCTCCTTTCCAGGTTGGCAGTCTGAGTGTGCCATGTTTCAAGCTATTTATGTCAGATGTAACTGTAGACTGTCTTACTCAGCTCAGGCTGCCATCACAAAGGACTGTAGAGTGAGTGGCTTAAACAGCAGACTTATTTTCTCATAGCCCTGTTACTGGAAAGGGGTCCTGATCTACATCCCATGAGAAGGTTCTTGGATCACATAGAAGAAATAATTTGGGGCACGTCCATAAAGTGAAATTAAATTGATTAAGAAATAAGCTGGATGCAGTGGCTCACGCCTGTAATCCCAGCACATTGGGAGGCCAAGGGAGGTGTATCACCTGAGGTCAGAAATTTGAGACCAGTCTGGCCAATATAATGAAACCCCATCTCTACTAAAAATACAAAAATTAGCCAGGCGTGGTGGCAGGTGCCTGTAGTCCCAGCTACTTGGGAGGCTGAGGGTGGAGAATTGCTTGAACCCACGAGGTGGAGGTTGCAGTGAGCTGAGATAGCACCACTGCACACTCCAGCCTTGGCAACAGAGCGAGACTCTTGTCTCAGGGAAAAAGTGCAAAGGAATAAAAGAATGTCTACCTCTTAGGCAGAGAAGCAGTGTGGGGTTGTTGGTTGGCTTGTTTTATGGTGATTTCTTGACTGTATGCTAAACGAGTGGTGGGTTATTCATAGTTTTCCAGGAAAGGGGTGGGCAATTCCCAGACCTGAGGGTTCCTCTCCCTTTTTAGACCATAGAGGGTAACTTCCTGACATTACCAAGGCATTTGACAACTGTAATGACTTGGGTGGGAGTGTCTTTTAGCATGCTAATTTATTATAATTAGCATATAATGAGCAATGAGGTCGACAGAAGTCACTTTCATTGCCATCTTGGTTTTGGTGAGATTTTGCTGGCTTCTTCACCGCATGCTATTTTATCAGCAAGGTCTTCGTGACCTGTATCTTGTGCTGACCTCCTATCTCATCCTGTGACTAAGAATGCCTAACCTCCTAGGAATGCAGCCCAGTAGGTTTCAACATCATTTTACCCAGGTCCTATTCAAATGCCTCTGACAGTCTTGGAGGCTGGAAGTGTGAGTTCAAGGTGTCAGCAGGGTGGGTTTCTTTTGAGGCCTCTCTTCTTGATGGCAGGTGGCTGGCTTCTCCCTGTGTCCTACATGGTAGACCTTTGATCTGTGAGTATCTATGTCCTAATGTCCTTATAAAGACACCAGTCAGACTGGATTCGGTCCTACACAAATAACTTTTGTTTGACTTAATCACCTCTTTGAAGTCCCCATCTCCAAGGGCCTTCAAGATCCACGTTCTGACGTCCTGGGGATCACAGCTTCAATCTATTAATTTTGAGGACACAATTCAGCCCATAACAATGATCAAGGAATTTTCCTTCATGTGACCAAGTGCAGGTTGCCCAAAGTTGGAGAGTAATTGAAGGCGTTTGAAGAGATTGGTGCAAAGATGCTCCAGGAGGAGAGGGATGGACACCTGGTTTTTCCTTTTCTGCAGGTCTCAGGTCCTTTTAACCCACTCCGTGTACCCCTTTGGTGAGTGTCATTCCCATAGGGCCAGACATTAGAGGACACTCCCTGTACCAGCCCAGCCTTCCTCCGTTTCTCCTGCCAGCACAGAGGCTCACAAGACTGTCAGCAGCTGAATTTCACTCTATTGTTGATAATGTGTGCATGAAGATTTTATTAGTGACACCTGACAGAAACAATGAGGACCGAGGTGAAAAATATAAGGACTCTGGAGGAGGTTAGGGCTATTCAATGTTCTGTCTTGCAATTTTGATCCTCGATCCATCAGTCCTTCTGCCTGGCTCTTGTCATCTCTCTTAAACACACAGCTCTTGTGAGTGGAAAGGACTTTGTCCAGTAGAGAAAGACAGAAAACAGCCGAACTTGACTGAGCCTAGGCCCAGAGTGCTCACTTGCTTGGCTCAGTGCTGACTGTTGGTGGTGATCAGGCAGTTTGTAATTCATAGACTCAGTCAAGGAGAGCCAGGAACCACCAACACCTGTGCCTCCCACCAACTCTAGGGCCACACAGGGCCTCCCACAGCTTCTCTTTGCTGGGGAAGTTTGGGGTCTGCCCTCTTGTGTAACTCACTCCCCCAGTGACCACAGCCCAGGTTGTCTGGCATCTGTTTTCTATCCAGTGTGAAGTGATATCCTGCTCTGAAGGCCACTGAGATGCCCTTTGAAGTCAAAAGTAATTGTTCTCAGTGGCGATTTTTCTCTTTGGCTCTATTCTTCCATAGAGGGTGATAGTTCATGTTTGAAGAAGTCATGCCTAAAAGAAAAATGCCAGAAGAGGAAACGCAGGAAATGTGACCCACATGTGACGGCATGTCTCCTACTTTGCTTCAATGCTGCTCTCTCTTTAGGATTCACGTTCTCCTCTTCCAAGAGGCCCTCCCTGACTACTTCAGGGTACACCGATCTCTGACCACCACAGAGCCCCTCACCAGCTCCTCTGGAAAAGATCTCCTTTGGGACAGAGCCTTAAACTTGACCTTTGGAAGCCAGCATGGGATTGGACACACACAGCCATTCAGTAAGTGTGTTTTGAATGAGTAGGGTATAGCTGAATGTCTAATAATGACACTTCCCTGCCCTACTACCCCAAGCTGCTTAGATGTGACGTCTTCAGGGAGGCCACTTCTAACCTAAACATTCACTCTTTCCTCTGTATATCCTTGTATATTGGTCTATCTTTCATGTGCCTATTCCATGGTTTTTATATTTATTTGTTTACATCTCACTTTCCTCCCATTCCAGCAGAATCTGACCTATTCCTTGCAGTATTCCCCAAACCAATAGGTTTGACTCTGTGAAGACACATGCCATGACAATTGAACTGAATTACACCTAATTAGGAGAAGAAAATAATCATGTTGTTTAAAGTATGCTGCATCTGGCTTTGGCTAATTTAGAAACAATTACTTAATTTATTTTCTCATTATTTATGGAGCAAGTATTATGTGAAAGCATAGTTCTGGACATTACAAATGAAATAAGTGTACATTTGTTGAGTTATTCCTGTAGACTACCAACTTTCAGAGAGGCTACCTCTCTGTACCTCACCAGAATAGGATCAGGAATAGTGTCTGTTCTGCTCACGGCAGAACTCCCAGTGCCTAGATCAGTGGCTGGAAAATAAGGTGCTCCATAAATATTTGTAGAATGAATGAATAGCTTATGAGATAAATTTTATTATACCATTTTATGGAGAAGTTAAATCACTTGCTGAAGGCCAGACAGCTATTACCTGGCAGAGTCATGATTCCAGTCTGGTTTGTTTGACTCCAGTGGACATGGTATCATGTACTCCCATCCTCTCCCAGCACTGGAAGATGGCAGTGTCTCCATCATCATCAGTTGAGGATACAGATGCCGTCAGATGGACTGGGTGTGATCCAGAAGAAGCTCTAGGTAGGACTGGAGGTAATGCAGGTTATTATTGTTATCATGATAATTATTAGCAATGATATAGGAGTTAAAAAGAAAATCCTTAGGCAGATAGTGACGGTACGGAAGTCCTTGGTAAGGTTTTCTTTTAATGAAAAGCAGCCCCTAGATCATTTTCTTTTCTAACAAAGAGCAGCCTGTAAAATTGGGCTGCAGACCTAAACAAGTGAGCTGGATGCTTGCACAGGTGAATGTCAACAGTTGTGCCCATAGACATAGACTACCTGGGACTAGGCATGTTCAAAATGGCGGCTCCATCTTCTCTTTTTGCCAGCCACATGTACAGTAAGGAGTCAACAAGATGGCACTGGCCAAGTGGAAAGCTCATTTTCGTAGTAAGATTGGGGGTGGTGACCAACCTTCCTCACGTGCTATGTAAATGTCACACTTGGTCAAACCAATCCATGAGCCCTAGGTAAATCAGACACTGCCTTTCCAAGCTTTCCTATAAAATCTGCAGCCATCCACCACCTTTCCCTTTTTCAGACACCTCTCTCTAGCCAGGAGCAGCTATTCTTTCTCCTTTCTTCTACCTATTAAACTTACAGCTCCTTAGCCCATCCACATGTGTCTGTGTTCTTAATTTTCATGGCTTGAGATGATGAACCCCAGGTATTTACCCCAGAGAGAGATGCTGCTTCAACAAGTTATTCTGTAGGATATTAGGGGAGGACTCAAAGGGAAAGTGATAATTAGCAGGGCCTGGTAGAATTAGAGATTTGTAACCTTCACGTGATGGTCAGCAAAGGAACATTAATGGTGGATCCCAGGCCTGCAGGAGAGGCAGACATTGGTTTAATCACCACCTTTTTGTCCTAGGAAATTCATTAAGCAAACTTTTACCTGATACCTAGCCTGGGCCTGGATCTTGGAAAGACACAAGTCCTGTAATTTCAAATAATGATCTAGTCAGAGAAACCAGAGTCAGTCATACAACACAGCAATGTGGTGGGATGATGGTCACTGTACAACTCTGTTGTGTGGGGGTCATTTGGCCATGTTATGGTGCTGTTCATTATCTGGATATGTCTCTAGGAGTGTCTCAGGTTTTAACGTATTTGTTGGCCAAGGTCTGATGAATGGATCCTTTGTTTTTCAGCAAAGTAATCATCTCTAAAAGAATGGGAACATGGTGCCTGCTGTCAACCCAAAGCTGAGGAGAAATTAAAGCTCTTGATCTGCAATTGATCAACTATTAAAGTCACAGCATGGGGTGTTTCTGTGCTTTGCCTGTTTTTGTTTTGTTTAATATTTACTTTATTGGTTGGAATGGCATTCCTTCATTTAAGACACGTGGGAAGTGCATCTTGATGATTTATGCCACAGAGTATCCAATTTGTGGCATAGATAACAGGTACTCTTTTGGGAGCATTAAAATGACATTGTGGTGGAATATTTATAATGAATAGCTCAACTGATCACTCCTGTGCTGATGGCTCAGGAGTCGCTGTCTATGCCTGAGGAGCAGACTGTGATGTTGCCTCCTCTGTGTTGATAGTCCCTGACCCTTTTTGAAAAGAAAACAGAGATGACAGACTCTTACTTATTTATTTCCAGGAGTGAATCTGTTGTTTTTGATGCTTTAACACATTTATTTAATCCCACAGCCGGCTCTGCGTGGAATCATGACTATCCCCGTTCTACAGGTGAGAAAACAGGAGCTCAGAAAGCTCAAGTGAGTTGCCTGAGTCACACAGCTTGTCAGAGGCGGAGCTCCGTTTGCCAGTGCCTCGAAAATCAGTGTCTTTTTTCTTTATAATACATTTTTCCTTCTAGGCTTTCAAATTCCACTCACTGGTTTTCAGGATGTCTTGTTTTTGTGTGTTTTCTGTGACAGTTGAAGAGATAAAAGGTTGGGTCTAATCTCACATATGAGGTGATGTGGGCTCCCAGAATCCTCTCTCTGCTCTAGGCTGGCCTGATTTGTAGACTCCTCAGGAACCCCAAAATAATTGAAACAGGTCCCAGTCAATTTAGAAAGTTTATTTTGCCAACGTTAAGGACACACCCCTAACATAGCCTCAGGAGGTTCTGACAGCATGTGCCCAAGGTGGTCGGGGTACAGCTCGCTTTTGTACATTTTAGGGAGACGTAATACATCAATCATTACATGTAAGATTTACATTGGTTCTATGGAGGAGGAACTTTCAGGACATAGGTGAATTTAAACATTTTCTGATTGGCAATTGATTGAAAGAGTTCTTATTAGTAAAAAGGACTGTCTAGGTTTCCGTAAAGGTTGTGGAGGCCAAGGTTTTTCATGCAGATGAAACCTCCACATAGGAGGCTTCAGAGAAAACAGATCAGAAAGGTTTCTTGTAGGACTTAAGGTCTGTTTCTTACAGGACTTAACACCTGTGTTGATGTTAACACTGGAGGGGTATAAGGAGTCAGGTTCAACCCCCTCTTCCATCATGGTCTAACTATACTTTCAGGTTAACTCCAGAATGCTCTTGGCCAACAGGAGGGATCCAGTCCATTCAGATATCTGGGCTGGGGGCTTAGCATTTTATTTTTGGTTTGTGACAGCATGGTGAATAGAATGGGAAAAGGTATTGGGTATTAACCATTGTCCTGTGTATCTTTGTTTTGTTTCATTTTGTTTTTGAGACAAAGTCTCTCTCTGTGTCCTAGGCTGGAGTGCAGAGGAGGCACGATCTTGGTTCATTGCAACCTCTGCCTTCCAGCTTCAAGCAATTCTTGTGCCTCAGCCTTCTGAGTAGCTGGGACTACAGGCATCCGCCACCATGATCGGCTTTTATATTTTTAGTAGAGTCAAGGTTATGCTATGTTGGCCAGGCTGGTCCCCAACTCTTGACCTCAGGTGATCTGCCTGCCTCAGCCTCCCAAAGTGCTGGGATGACAGGTGTGAGCCACTGTACCGAGCCTATCCTGTGTATCTTAAATGAGCTAACTTTTTAAACCTGAAGAACAACTCAGCGTAGTATATCCTATTATTTCCATTCTGCACAAGGTGAAATGGAGTTGTAAAAATGTTCAATGAGTTACTGAAAGTCATTAGACAATCAGGAGTCAGAGCTGGGATTTTAAATCACTGCTATCTTACTCTAAAGTCCACACTTTTTCTATTGGGTTATCATGCCTCCTAGTTGGGGACAAATGGGAAAGTAAAGACACCTTTTGATGGAATGTGACATGAGGGTGATGGTGAATGAGTGCTTGTCCCTGGGAGGGGACAGTATGTGAAGGTGACCAGCCTGTGTGAGGGGTATCAGGGACACAGGAAGTGGGCCTTCAGCCCTCCTGGGCAGGGCTGGCCAGTACAGGGGGTGGCTGAACTCCAGCCTGGACAGGAGATTAGGTAAAGGGGCCTCTCATCCTGTAGATGGGGCAGTAGAGAAGGCTGAGCTGAAGGTATTGACCGTCCTGTTTTCCAGATTCCCATACACCCTGCGTGTTAAATAAAGAAGGTGAAACCACCATTAAAGTTGCCCAGAATGTTTTTCACTTTTCACAACTCCAGCCTCCCTTTCAATATTGCTTTTGTTTTATGATTGCCTGCAGTAAAGCTAAGTCAGGCTAAAAAGAGACACATCCACTCTACTTTGAAAAGTGTGACTGAGGAAGCAAGAGAGTCTATTTTATATTGTTTTCACTGATATTTGGGACAAAGCAGTCACTGTCAAGATTAGAGTTAATGCTGGCTGGAGGAAGTTCAATAGTGTTACACAGGCTGGGTCATGGCTCTGTCAGGGGGAAGTTCAATAGTGTTACACAACACAGGCTGGGTCATGGTTCTGTCAGGGGAAAATTTAAAAAATGCTAAACAGGTTGTGTCCTTGCTCTGCATTTTGGGCTTCTGATAGCAAACAGGAAGTGATTCTTGCTAGTAATGGCGGTTTTAAAATGCACAGGGCAAAGGCAAAAGCAGAGGTTTGCCCCCGATTTCATATCCAGGCTATAAAATGCTGCTAATCTTGAGGTTAGCCTAAAAACATTAGAACTTAGAGGCTAGACTTAGAAGAAGCTGGCAAGTAGACGAAGTAAGCAAAGTTTAAGAAACTTAGAAACATGGTTCCTGAAGCCAGAAGTGGGCATTCCAGGGCATATAGACCATAGAGGACAAGAGTCTCAGGAACACCGTTTATTCACTCCAGACATATTTATTGAGGGCTTACTAGAGTGGAGATAAAGATAAAATCATTACCCCATAGAGCCACATTCTAGGGGCTGAAATGTGAGCCAAAAGTGACCTGTAGCCTCCCCTACCTCGGTTACAGATGATCAGCAATGCTTTCTGAATGGAGGTCTTGATAAAAATGCAGATTCTGATTCAGTGAGTCTGGGGTAGATCCCAAGAGTGTGCACTGCTGCAGAATCCCAGGTGAAGCTGAAGTTGAGGTTGCCGTCTTCAGTGTTAGGAGCGAGGCTTAAACTCAGAGCCCACTGCTATTCTCTGTTTTACTTATTTATTTCAGTTTGTGGAGTAACATGAATCAAATTCTCCTTCCAGAGCATGAACTTCAGCATACTTCATAAATGCACTCACCATCGTGAGGAAGGAGCTGGAGATAAAGATCTCCTCTTAGTATAGATAGAGAACTCGATGAGGTGTAGTCAACTGAGTGTTAGTGTCAAACCCTTTTTCCTAGAGAGATCACAGGAATAGGCCTTCTTATAAGTTGATATTCTTCTTCGCCCAGATTTTGGGGACTGTTTCTAGTTGCATGGAACCTTGACATGGGTCCAAGTTTATGATACTTTTACCACCTTGTATTTTCAGGAGCAGCCCCCAGGCTGTGATTTGTTCCTTTTGTCTCAACAAAACTCATTTATTTTCAGGCCTTGAGTGTCTGTGTTATCACATACATGTAAACATATATATCCATCATAGTTTCTGGATTATCTCAGTGATGTGTGGACCACATGTGGACTCCAAACCTGCAAACTCCCAATTAGATACTAGAATTTAATTAATTTCTAACCCTCCAGCATACAGAGGCAGCGGACCTGGACTTGGCCTCACAGGAGTGCTCTGTTACTTTATCATAATAGACATGCAAAGTTGGAGGATGTGTGCATGTGGAACTGAATAATGGCTTCTGAAAATCGGAAATCCACTTTAAGTGGGAGGCCATCTCATCTGCACCCCTGACTATGAGAAGGAGTTAAAACCTCTGAATGAGCGTGGGGAGAGACACAATGGGGTGCAACAGGCTATCAGGAAAAGAATGTTGTGTTTGGAAATCCGGGCTGGGTGCAGGATGAGGAGCAGAGAGTCCAAGGCTTGTTCATTTGGCCAGAGACCAGAAGCTTCTGCTCACCAAAGAGTTCCAGGAGAGATGAAATTTCATCGCAGAGAAAGGGGATTGACACACTGCCAGCGGAGGCAGATGAGTTTCCGAGACAAAATATGCAGTCTAGGGTAAATGCTACTTAATCTTAAATATAAACTACAAAGAGAGTAATTGTTTAGTCATTGGGGGACCTTTGAACAATTCCTTTTTTGCTACTCTTTTCATTTTAGCACCATTATCTCTGTGCTGCCAACCGGTTTCCCTGCCAAATGGGTGTGTAACCAAGTTAATGATGCTATTAGCCAAAGCTTGCTATAAAAAGGGAAAATTTAACCTAGGCCAAGGAGAAAAAAATAATAAATCCCTAATTTTATAAACTACTGTTTTGTGAACTTTTTTATTCTCACAAAGCTTGGAGAAGATGGAGTTGGCCCTAAGCAGTAGCAGAGTGCAAAGCACCACCATTTACTGATTTTCCTCCAACAAATATAATAACTGTAGACCACATATTTACTAGAAACCACTGGATTCTTGATTAAAGGGCATAGATGTTTAGATTTCCACATAATTAAGGATTAATAATTGCCACACACCGTGCCCCCAACACTAAGTGGTGTTTAACCTTCTGTAGTCACGTTTCTGCTAAAATTCACCCAACAGTTCCAGTTTCAGACTTTGCTGGTACACAAGTGATTGCCAAAAACCATACAGGCAAAACCAATTTTGCTCATTTTCTCTTTAAGAGAAAACCTGATAAAACCTCTAAAATGTTTCAGGATGTCTGAGCAATATTTTTAAGTCATTTGCAGATAAGAAAAGATTCCAAAGCCCCAAGGAATGGAATAAATACTGGCCACCTTCATTAACCTGCTAAATTTCAGGAAGAGATAATGGTCTCTAAGAGAGGCATATGTTTGATTTTCAAGCCTGAGGACACTTTCATGATGACACATCGGCAGTGATTGCCAGGGGAGGTTTGCTGCAGTTTATTTCAAACACCATGGTGTTTGGGCCCATTCATGTGTTCACATGTTTGACAAACATAAAGGGATGAGCTGGGAGGCTTAGGTGAGAAAACACAACAATGATAACTATAGCAAAGAGAATACAGCACCTGCCCGCACAGTGTTTACAGTCTAATGTCAGACAAACACAGAAGGACTGCAGGAGTAATTGTAAGATGATAACCATAGCAATTGTTTCAAAGAGGGGTGCTTTGGTGCTGTGATGTGTGAAACAGTGGGAATTGATGAGGTCAGGAAGGAGAGCAGCGGTGTCCAGAAGTTAAAACGTTTCTTCAATGGTTAAGGGTTTATCCCCTTCACTTTTTGTTTGTTTTCTTTTTTTTGAGACAGAGTCTTGCTCTGTTGCCCAGGCTGGAGTGCAGTGACACAGTCTCGGCTCACTGCGACCTCTGTCTCCTAGGTTCAAGCAATTCTCCTGCCTCAGTTCTCTCCTGAGTAGCTGGGATTACAGGCACCCCCCCACCAAGCCTGGCTAATTTTTTGCATTTTTAGTAGAGATGGAAGTTTCACTATGTTGGCCAGGCTGGTTTCGAACTCCTGACCTCATGATCTGCCTGCCTCGGCCTCCCAAAGCACTGGGACTATAGGTGTGAGCCACTGCACCTGATCCATCTCACTTTTTGGAATTCTTCTGTTCTCTGTATGTGAGCAGTCAGCCAAGTGAAGCCTAGTCTCTGGCGCTCCCGGCCTCTTGTGATGTCCCTGGTATCAATCAGCTTTGGGATAATGGTCTGTTATTGTTTGCGTGTTTCTGGATTATGTTTTACGTATTAAGTCTTATCAGGCTTTGCTGTGACTAGCCCCTCAGAAGTAGTTAAACTCTGAATCACTGAAATAAAATATTTTTCAGCTGCTCCTATCAGCTGGCCTCCTCAAGTCGCTCTTCCTGTGTCTGAGGATAAATCTTGGCTACAGCCGTCTGCTTTTTCTGCTAAATTGCTAGCTCACCTTTACTTGAATGCTTCTAGAGATGGAAACCTGGCTGCCTCCCGAAGCAGTCCTCTATCTTTGGACAGCTGCACATATTAGCAAGACTTTCTTTAGAGTACGTTTTGGCAGCGTCTTCTGTTTGGTCATATGTGTATAATGGAGATGAGATGGAAGGACACTTATGTTCTGAGTGTCTCCTCTCCTGAGTTTCTTAGGGGACGGGGGGACTTGAGACCTTCTGAAACCTAATGATGTAACAGAATAGGACATATGTAATCAGTTTGAAAACATGTGCTGGTGGTTGAGTTTCTTCAGCGATGGATTATCATATTCCCTGTCTTAATCAGCTTGGGCTGCCATAAGAAAAGCACCATAGACTTGGGTGGCTTAATAAATAACAAACATTTCTTTATCACAGTTCTAAAGGCTGGGAAGTCCAAGATCAAGGTGCCAGCTGGCTCAGTTCCTGGCAAATGCCTGCTTCCTGGTTTGCAGAAGGACCCCTCTTGCTGAGTCCTCACATGGCAGAGAGAGAAGAGAGAGAATCAAGTCTCTTTTTATAAGGACACTAATCCCATCACGAGGGCTCCAGTCTTATGACACAGTACTACCTAAAGGTCCCACCTCCTAGTGCCATCATGTTGGGAATTAGGGTTTTAACATGAATTTGGCCCCTCTCCACTGATATGGTTTGGCTCTGGGTCGCAACCCAAATCTTACCTTGAATTGTAATAATTCCCATCTGTCAAGGGTGGGACCAGGTGGAGATAATTAAATCACGGGGGGCAGTTTCCTCCATACTGCTCTCGTGATAATGAGTGAGTTCTCACGAGATCTGGTGGTTTGATAAGAGTCTGGCGTTCCAGCTGCTGGTGCTCGCTGTCTTGTCTGCTGCCACGTAAGACGCGTCTTTGCTTCTCCTCTGCCTTCTGCCATGATTGTGAGGCCTCCCCAGCCATGCTGAACTGTGAGTTCATTAAACCTCTCTCCTTTCTTCATTATCCAGTCTTGAGTATGTCTTTATTAACAACGAGAAAACAGACTAATACATCCACTATCCATCAAAATTAACACTATACACAAACCCATGAGTGGCCACAAGTGGTCTGAATCTGTGCCCCTATCTCCGCAGGGCTAGCCAGCATAGCCTGGAGATGAACCCTTTCTTGCCAACTTCTTTAAGTCACCGAGACCCTTTATCACTCTGCTTCTAGATTCACTGGATGCTCACAATATTACAACTGGGAGTATGAAGAGCCAGCCTGCTTGTTTTCTTGAGTTGGTTGTTATTGTAGATTCTCCCTACCCTCATATGCACACTGTTCTTATGCAGTTATAGGGTGCAGACCAGGCAATGCCAGTTTCCCCAGGTAGCCTGGCATGCCTCACAGTGGTAGGTGGTAGATCCACACTTAGGAGGTATAATCAGATCAGAAGGGCTGAGGAATTCACGCTGTAAAAGTACTACTACTGAAGGGAGAACTCGTTTAATTTTGCATAAGAAGAGTGATGAAACAAAGATCTCTGGAAGATCATGTTCTCTTCTAAATATACACCTCGAAGGCTGATGTCTTTCTGTCCCACCTGACAGCGTGGTTGGTTCTCAAGGAATTAAAAAACAAAAACCCTACTCTGCCAAAGAGGAGTTTGAGTTTGCATTCAACTTATCAGAAGCTCTACATGTAAATGTAGCATTTTATTGCCTACCGTGTGTAACACATCATGTACAGTGCCTCACATGTTCTAGCAGATCCCGACGCATGGATTCCATTGTACCCATTTTTCAGATGGGAAAAATCAAACAATTAGGAAGAAACTGCATAAGTAGGACTGTGGATTTGCCTGCCTGGGAAGCTCTGCTTTTCCATCAAGTTGTGTCTTTAGGAGGTGTTGCTTTGTGACAAGGCACTGGGATGGCTTGAGGAAGGGGCAATGTTGAAGGAGGAAGCCTCATCTGCAGGCAGACTGGCATTTGTGCTGCTGTAGATGCATAGGGCAACAGGAGGAAGACCACTAATGGTGGAGAGAATGGGTGGAGGCATCTCTGCAGATGCTAATGTGCAAAAGAACCTTAATGACTGGAAGTCAGTTAAGCTGGGTGAGGCAGACAGGTGGGCTGAGTCCTAGCTGAGGATAATTCAATAAGTATTCAGAATAGGCTGTCGGACTGCTCACAGTTGCTTGCAGGTGGAGCTGGTCATGGAGAAGGGAGAGGTAGAGATGCTTCCTCTACAACTGCAATTCTCTAGCTCAGTATTTCTGGACTTCACAACGGTTGACATTTTGGGCTATTTTTTGTGAAGAGGGGGGCGGTCTTGTGTATTATAGTGGGATTAATAGCATCCCTAGCCTCTTCCCAATCCTGACAACTAAAACTGGCTTCAGATGTTGCACAAAGTCCTTTGAGGAGCAAAACCACCCCCAGTTGAAACTCTGCTGTAACTCAATATGCATGGCAATATTAATGGCAGGTGGCTTCACTCTCCTTTATACAGATAGAAGAACCGAGGTTAATGGTTGCAAAATTTGTACCTCGGAATGTGGAGTTTTGAAACTACATTTGTTCTAATTTTATACAAGACTCTGCCTTCCTGCCAAGGGGTAAAAAGGACAGGGACCTCTTGGACTCGCTTGCTGGGAGCTTTGATCTGTTTCCAATGCTTTGTTCCTTGCCTCTGGCTTGGTTTGCTTATCCAAACAGGCAGGAGCACCCTATGCAGTGTGAGAACAAATTGCATTGTTGGATTTTAATCCCTTTAGGTACGCCTTATTAATGCTCTTGCATATCACACTGTGAACGCCTTCCTTCATTCTCAAACATTTACTGAGTCCCATCTATGTCCTAGGCATGATGCTTAAGGCTGGGGATGGAAGGATGAACCAGTCACACCTGACTCCTGCTATCCTGGATTTTATATCACAGCTGGAGACAGACGGCAGCAGCAAGACAAGGACAACTGCAACAGCAGCAGCAAATCCAAACCTTGCAGTCTGATGGAAAATACAGGATGGGAGACCCAGCCAGAAAAATTGAGATCTGAAGGGTGAGACACTACCAGCTTTATGACTGTGGAGGGAGATGGAGCAGAAGACAGGCACAGGGAACAGCCAATTCAAAGGGCCCCAGGAGAGAAAGAGCTTGGCCTGCTTTAGAATCTAGCAGAGAAGTTTGTGGGGGCTGGATTTGTAGTGAGATTTACCACCCTGACTCTAGTGCCTGACCACTGGGAGTCCCACCTAATCCCTCTATTCACAGATTTTCTTTTTAAGATAGAATCTCACTATTGCCTAGGCTGAAGTGCACTGGTATACTCTCAGCTCACTGCAACCTCTACCTCCCAGGTTCAAGCAATTCTGCCTCAGCCTCCCAAGTAGCTAGGATTACAGGCATGAACTACCATGCCCAGCTAATGTTTTGTATGTTTAGTAGATACGGGGTTTCACCATATTGGCCAGGTTGGTCTTGAACTCCTGTCTTCAGGTGATCTACCTTCCTTGGCCTCCCAAAGTACTGGGATTACAGGCGTGAGCCATCACACCCAGCCCAGATTTTCAGAACCACAAAGTCTTTGGCATGGAAAAGCAGACAGAGTGACTTGAATGCATTTGGAAGACGATGAACTCTCAGCCTGACAAATTCTCTGGAGACAAAACACTGCCTCCATGTATGTCTGCTGCTTTTTGGGCTTTTCAAACCCACCTGTGTTGTTCCCATCTTAAATTCAGCAGGAGCCGTGGGTCCTCAGTAGCTGCCTTGGAGACTTCATCTTCCTGAGCTCCTTCAAGCCAAAGCCCTGTCTCTTCTTCCCACTGCTTGGGCTTCAAGGCTCTGCCTCGGACTCATCTGTGTTAGGTGACCGACCTGTGTGCCTGTCTCACCTTCTGTCCTGGTTCTTCTTCTCTCTGCTTTGCCCTCTTTCTAGGATTCTACGCGGTGAACATGTACTGGCCTTAGGAGTCTCCTGTCTTTTTTTTTTTTTTTTTTTTGAGATGGGGTCTTGCTTTGTTACCCAGGCTGGAGTGCAGAGGCATGATCTCTGCTCACCGCAACCTCTGCCTCCTGGGTTCAAGTGATTCTCCTGCTCAGCCTCCCAAGTAGCTGGGACTACAGGCATGCGCCACTATGCCCAGCTAATTTTTGTATTTTTAGTAGAGATGGGGTTTCACCATGTTGGCCAGGATGGTCTCGATCTCTTGACCTTGTGATCTGCCTGCCTTGGCCTCCCAAAGTGCTGGGATTACAGGTATGAGCCACTGTGCCAGGTGACTATCCTGTTTTATTCTCACCCATACCTTTCCCCAGGGGCAAGGCCATGGGTATCATCTCCCTTTCTTTGCTCAGCTTCCCTAATTGTTCCCCCGAATGGATTACGTTCCTGTCCTGTTGTCTTGGGGTTTGCATGGAGCCCGGCCCTCTCTGTTAGGAGAAATATGCCACTGTCTATGTGTGGAGCTTGCACTGTGAGCTTGCCTGAAGCTATGTGAGCCTTGGGCATCCAGGGAAAACTAAGCCACGATTCCTGCTTTCCAGAATGCATAGCCTCCTGGCTGAGGAGGGGCCAGAATCTCAGGGACGAGGAGGCAGCCCCATGGCACCATGAGACAAGGCTGGAATTTGCCATCCAGAAACTTGAGCTAGAATGCAGTGCAGAAAGGCAGGAGCTGTGGAAGCTCAGGCAAGTCCCTTCATATACGTGGCAGCCAGGATGCCTGATAGGCCGGGCAGGGGAAGCTATGGGAGTGTGCCTGGCTTGGACATCTGTTCAGTGTCACTGGCTCCCAGCTTGTCTCTGGCTGTGGGCTCCTCAGCATCTTTCTTATTTTCTGAGACCCAGTGGCAGCTTCTGTCTCTCTCCCCCTTATGTCTCACAACCATTTCTCAGATGGATTGCAAATAGACAGTGTTTCTCCTCAGCCTCCATTCTCCTGGCAGCCTAGGGTCAGAGAAGAATGTAAAGTTGATCATATAGATGAGGATCAAAAGGAGACTTCACAATTCATTGGCTGTGTGATTTCTGACAAACAGCTCAACCTTGCTGGGTCTGTTTTCTCATACATAAAATGGAGATAATGGCTCCTTTGCAGCAGTGCTTAAGAAACAAGGATGGAAGCACTAGACAAGGCTGGGGACTTAGGAGTTTTCACCAAGCCTTAGTTTCCGCCTCCCTTCTTCTCTCCCTCTCTTCTCTCCTTTGCCTCCCTCCTTCCTTTCTTCCACTTCTCTCCCTTCCTCTCTCTCTTCCTTCCCTTCTCTCTCATTCCACTCTCCTGAATGAATTCTGGCAAGATCACTTGAGGACGTATATCCTTTGTCTCCCTGTGAGAGCCCTCTCCCCACCTTCATGTAATTGTCAGCAACAAAGTTGGAAAATACAGACGTCTGAAGCAGCTCTCAGCACCGCAACATCTGCACCAGACAAAACTCAAAAAGCCCTCAATCCCCAGTCATGAATGCACTATAAAAACAATGTGGCAGAAATGAAAATTGTTCCATCATAATATTTCACAGTTCTTTTTGACAAAAGCCAAGCCGCCCTCATGAATACACATTTCCCAGCATCTTATGCATTATGCATCAGCCTATAGCAGGGGACCAGGGAATTGCCGGTCCTTAGTAAAGGGCCTTTGAAAGTGCCTATTTTGTAAACAAATGGAGCCCAGGCCCAGCACTCAGAATCTTTAGGTAATTTAAGACCGACTCCAGCTGCCCTGAGTGGGGACTGGCTCTTCTCAGGGCCGTAAAAGGCAAAAGAGTCTCTAATGTTCACATGGTGGAGAGGGAGTGAGTCAATGTTCTGTATTCTAATCTCCAATTTTATAACATCCGAGACAGCCATTCAGAGGATCTGGGACAATTCCTGCCAGAGCCAAATGTCACTGGAATGCCAGATGAGCCTGCTAAGGCTGGTTTTCTGGCCACGCAGTCAGTAGTCAGGACTTGATTCCCAAGTGCCACAAACGGCATCGAACCTTGCAATGAGGATGCTGATGAGTGGGGGTAACTAAGGGGCCAGGCAGGGCAGACACTGTCTGCCTGTCTCAGGTGGCTTGTAGGAGACATTTTTTTTTGTTTGCCCAGTGCCAGCAAATTGGAAGTGAGAATGAAGTGTGCCTTACTGTCCATGGGAGGACAGTTGAAGTTCATTAACTAGCCCCTGTGTTTCCAAGACAGGTGTACTGAGGCCAGATTTTTTAAGTAACAGGTTCAAGGTCACACTGAGAATGAGCAGCAGGTCAGGGACTGCTGGAAGCCTGGCATCTTTCACAGTGCCTCCCACCGCCTCAATCATGGGTTGGCAGGGCCTGAAAAGACCACGGGCAAAATGGTTTCTGATTGCTACGATTTGAGTAAAGGGCAGACTGGGATCCTTAAAACAGCCCTGGAAAAGAACATCATGCAAGGCCATTTTGTATAATTTGCAATCTGTCCTCTATGTACAGATTTAAATGGTGACCGATAGATGATAGATACTGACATCATCTCTGTTGCAATAACAAGATGGTGATTGATTCTTTGCTATGTGTATTTATTTCATAAAAGCATTTAGGCCACATTAGGATGTCATGCAAAGGGAATTGAATTGAGAAGTGGAAATTTGGAGTTCCAGGGTTGGACATGCCCTATTCTTGCCTTCTTTGGACCTCAAATTCTTACCTGTTAAATGAGGGGTTCAGCAGGGATGATCTTTGGGTTGCATCCCATCTGAAACATCTCTCCTGTCTGTGGCTGAGCACTGGCACTGTGCAGAGGGCACAATGAAGCTGGAGAGGAGAGGGGCCCACCTCATGCTGAATAGTGCACCTGCATGCCTGGGCTCCCTGAGGAGGGGTGAGGGGAGGTGGGAGAGACCCCGCTTAGGGAAAGTCGAGGGAAGTTCCTTATTACTGCTCCTGGTGCCTGGAGCTCTCCAGCTGTAGGACGCGTTTGCTGATTGATGCAGTTTGACTAATGAAAACAACAACTACTGAAGGCTGATTAAGATGAGGCAACTTGTTACTCCTCACAGACACCTGCAGGAATTTACTTAGGCACTTAGGCGATGGCTGCTTCCCCATCCTCTGCTGACCTGGAGAACAGGCTGATGGTGGGTGTCAGTTGGGAGAAAAATTGGAATCATTAAGCCACCTGTAACATGGAAAGCCTGCCCAGGACTCTTTTTTATTTTTATTTTTTTTGAGACAGTCTCACACTGTCACCCAGGCTAGAGTGGTGCAGTAGTGCAATCTCAGCTCACTGCAACCTCCCCTTCCTGGGTACAAGCAATTCTCCAACTTCAGCCTCCTGAGTAGCTGAGATTACAGGCATGCACCACTATGCCCAGCTAATTTGGGGCAAGTTTTCTTTCTTTTTTTTTTTTTTTTTTAGAGACAGGGTTTCACCATGTTGGCCAGGCTGGTCTCAAACTCCTGACCTAAAGCAGTCTGCCCACCCAGCCTCCCAAAGTGCTGTGATGATAGGTATGAGCCACTGCACCTGGACCTGCTCAGGACTCTTGAAGGCTGGAATACATGGTTCTTAAACTGTGTGTGTGTGTGTAGAGGGGAGATGTTTATAAGTTCCAGGTGATATTGTTGGCCCAGGAACTGTACCTTAAACACTGGTATAGAGGTCAGGTGCAGTGGCTCATGCCTGTAATCCCAGCACTTTGGGAGGCAGAGGCGGGTGGATCACCTGAGATCAGGAGTTTGAGACAAGCCTGACCAACATAGTGAAACCCCATCTCTACTAAAAATACAAAAAATTAAAAACAAAACAAAAAACACTGGTATAGAAAAAAAAAAAAAAAGGCTACCTAAAGATCCTCCATTTTCATGTCTCAGCATCTTCAAACTATCCAAAAATATCTCCAAAAATCTGTGAAGAAATAACTTCAGCTTCTACAACTGGCATAGTAGCAAGTATAAAGCATCCCTGAATACCTCAAATGGCTATTTATTTGGTTTCAAACTAAGAAATAATTTCTCCTGAATTATGAAAGTAAGATATTCAGTTTGGAAGCTTTAGAAATACAGAAGAGTATTAAAATGAAAATAAAGTAACATAAAAACACATCACATAAAGGTAACAGCTGTTGGCCAGGTCCAGTGGCTCATGCCTGTAATCCCAGTACTTTGGGAGGCCGAGGCGGGCAGATCACGAGGTCAGGAGATTGAGACCATCCTGACTAAAACGGTGAAACCCCATATCTACTAAAAATACAAAAAATTAGGCAGGCATGGTGGCAAGCACCTGTAATCCCAGCTACTTGGGAGGCTGAGAAAGGAGAATCACTTGAACTCAGGAGGCAGAAGTTGCAGTGAGCTCAGATCGTATTATGGTACTCCAGTCTGGGTGGCAGTGCAAGACTCTGTCTCAAAAAAAAAACCTCCACAAAAAACAGCTGTTTACAGATGAACCGTCTTTTATTTTTGCCCGGTGAATGTGTAAATATGTGTATATGAGCCTTGGCACTGGTCTTATGCAGTTTGCCTGAACTGGGATTCTTGAGATGATTGGTAGTATGAACAAAATAGTAAAAACAACAAAACCAGAAACAACCACAACAATGCAAAATGTGTGTAGTGGAGGCTGATTGGAGGTGAAAATCCTTGAAAAATGCTGAGGTAAACAAAATGTAAAAAGCTGAAGAGTCTTTCACCAGAGCGATTAAACTCCATGAGCCCTCGATACGTTACAGGCACTCGGAGAGGTGGTGTTCTCCTAAATGAGCATCCTTATGGAATTCCTCCTCTTCCCCCCATTCTCACACCAAGCTTTGTAAGGGCTGAGGTTTATTAACAGTCCTAAAACAAATGCCAGGAGAGTTGTAAGAAATGTACTCTGGGTGTAAAATATCATGTAGTTTAAGCTTTACATCACATCATTCTCTTTTGTTGGTCATCTTGGGTTTTCTAAAAGAAGCTGATTTATTTTGTTGGAAATTTAGTAAATAAGCAAGAAAGGGTCATTTCACCTCCATTATCTATTATCACTCCAGAAAATCAAGAGTCAGCATTTAAACACCACATTTTGCATGGCCTTGGTCTGTGCTATAACACAAATTGAGTGGTTTTTTTTGTTGTTTGTTTGTTTTTGGAGACCGAGTTTCACTCTGACACCCATGCTGCTCTGCCTCCCAGGTTCAAGGGATTCTCCTGCCTCAGCCTCCTGAGTAGGTGGGACTATAGGTGCACACCACCACGTCCAGCTAATTTTGTATATTTAATAGAGATGGGGTTTCAGCATGTTAGCCAGGCTTATCTCGAACTCCCAACCTCTGGTGATCCACCTGCCACGGCTTCCCAAAGTGCTGGGATTACAGGCATGAGCCACCACATCTGGCTAAGTTTTCTAGGTGTGTGTCTGACTTGGCTTCAGATGGAAGCCTCTTTGAAGCTAGGGGGGTTTCTCACAGATCCTTGTGGCCCAAAGGTTAGCATAGTCCCCTGCAGCAAGTATGTACCAACACATGCCCAGTGGATATGACAATGGGCTTTCTTATTGTTCTCTTTCAGCAGAGACAAAGAGTAAATGCTAATTACATCTGAGTTTGAGGAATTGCAATAAACCAGCTGCCATGGGCCCATAGGAGTAGGAGAAGATAATTCAAGCTCTTGGGAATGACTTAGAGGTAAGCGCTAATCCACCCCAGAGATGTCTGAAGGTGTTCTTTTCCACCTGATGATGGTTTTCCTTAGGAGAGAAAGCCTTCTTGGGTATTTGCAAAGTCTCCTATATTGATTGTATTATCTTCACTTTGTTTATAAATGTTACAACTTCTACCCATAGTCTACCTTATTTACACGTTTAAAGCACTGTTTTTGTTCAAATCCGAGATGGTCTGTGGGTCCTGGGTACTCAGCACCGCGTTCCTGGTTTTCTGCAATTGGCAGTGGCTATATCTGTCTTGGGTTATAATCTGAATTTATCTCTGCAAAGATCCCAGGCCTGCATTTGCCAGGAGCGCAGTGATAGGTGGTCTTCTAACAGCACCTCAGTTTCCAGGATCTAGTTTCAAGAGCCAGTTTCATTGATCAACTTTGGGATATGCGTGCTCTCTTTGACATTACGCTCTCTTTACATTCCAAACAGCATGTGGCTGACATTGCTTTTACTTCCCAGTGAGTCAGAACTAGAACTAGCTAATGATGGGGATCCCCTCATCATGGGAACTTGAGAACACTCACCTATTCCACTCCACTCATTTTCAGCAAATAGGATTCTTAAACCATCAAAGCAAGCAGCCTTTCCAATGCTACTCTAATTCTATTAATGCAGCCTAAATTCATGTTGGCAAACATAACATGCTATTGGTTTACATTGAACTTATGGTCCCCTAAGAGCTTCAGCCATTTCATTTTTTAAATTTTTAAATTTTTTGACACGGAGTCTCACTCTTGTCATCCAGGCTGGAGTGCAGTGGCCCAATCTTGATTCACTGCAACCTCTGCCTCCCGGGTTCAAGTGATTCTCCTGCCTCAGCCTCCCGAGTAGCAGGGACCACAGGTGTGTGTCACCATGCCCAGCTAATTTTTGTATTTCTAATAGAGATGGGGTTTTACCATGTTAGCCAGGATGGTCTCAATCTCTTGATCTATCCACCAGCCTCAGCCTCCCAAAGTGCTGGGATTATAGGCATGAGCCATCACGCCTGGCTGACCTTCAGCCATTTCTAAGTCTCCATTATATCAGCTGCTGTCATGTTGCATGTCTCACCCTCATATATTTTATTTTAAAATAACTAAATGTAGAATCTTAGAAATGTCTGCCTGATTATTCTAAGCATATTGTTCTGGTTTGGTCAAGCTTTTTTGAAGATTGGGCCTGAGATTCTCTGTGTTTACTTTTTCTCCATGTTTTTCTTCACTTGAAGAAAGCAAGTCCTTGTCCCCATAAACTTTTCCTTCAAGGTTTCAGCCCTGGATTTAACACTGTGGGACTATGCAGGTTCATCACCCTTCTTGAGCTATTCTGTCCAAATGTAAAATGAGAGCAGTGACAGGTAGCTGGCTAGGCTATTGCCATATTTAGACATATTATTTATGAAGTGCCCAGTATAGCATCTGACACATAAAAGGCACTTGGTGAATATTTTTGTCAGGTTGTATATTTGTATCTAACAGTGCTTTTCAAAAAGCAAACAAAAGAAACTAATGGCCTTCTGTCTGGAATCTCAGCCAAAGGGGTGGCATTTTGACTGGCCAGCAAAGAGTTACAGCACATAAAATCATCAGGGAATAGGGACGGCAGAGGCCACCAATAAATTACATGCAGTCTTGGGCAAGATTCTTAATCTCTTGAGCCTCAGTGCCCTCATCTCTAAGATAAGAAAACACAGGGACAGTATCTGGCATGTAGCCATCTGGTAGCAAATGGAAGGCCCTTTCCTCCTCTTCCTCCCCATACCTCCTGCCTTGGATACCTCCAAAGGGCTCAGCTCCAGATATCACAGGTCACTGAGACCTCTGCCCTCTGAGTTTGCAGGCATCGTTCTCAAAGCTTCCTGAGACAGCAACTGTCTTAGTCAGTTTGGGCCACTGTAATAAAACACCACAGTCCGGGCGGCTTAAGCAACAAACATTTATTACAGTTCCAGAGGCTGAAAAGTCTAAGATCAAGGTGCCAGCAGATTGAGTTCTCGGTGAGGGCTGCCTCTTGGCCTGTAGACAGCCTCCTCCTTGCTATGTACTCACAGGGCCTTTCCTCGGTGCATGCTCATGATCGGTCTTCCTCTTTTTTTTATTTTTGAGATGAAGTTTTGCTCTGTTGCCCAGACTGGAGTGCAGTGGCGTGACCTTGGCTCACTGCAACCTCCACCTCTTAAGTTCAAGTGATTCTCCTGCCTCAGCCTCCTGAGTAGCTGGGATTACAAGTGTGTGCCACCATGCCCAGCTAATTTGTGTATTTTTAGTAGAGACCAGGTTTTGCCATGTTGGCCAAGCTGGTCTCAAACTCTTGACCTCAAGTGATCTGCTTGTCTTGGCCACCCAAAGTGCTGGGATTATAGGTGTGACTCACACCTTTGATCTGTCTTCCTCTTCTTATAAAGGCACTGATCTCAGCATGAGGGTCTCACCCTCATGACCTTATCTCAATACCATTACATTGGGAGTTAGGGCTTCAGCATATGGATTTGGGATGTTGGGAACATAAATATTTAACTTATAACAGCAGCTTTACGCCTGAGCAAACCAACTGGGAGAGATAGTGATGTCTGCATGATCCATAGACAATCTCTTTCAGTCACTGTGATGGGCTTGGCCCACAACATGTCCTACCATTGCCTGCTCTCTGATCCAGTGCATACTCCTTCCTCTGCCTGGAATCCACCTGTTCTCCATGCACTTCCCATTCACCCATTCATCTCTTCAAGATGCAATGTTTTCTCCTTCAGACAACCCAGCCCCACCCATGCTCTTACCTCACTGTGCTGATCCCTGTCTCTCTTCCAAGGGGCTGTGAGGAGCTCATGAGAACCAAGATCATATGTCTCATCTCACTTTTATTCTTCAGTGCCTAGCCATCTGCCTGGCATGTAGTAGGTGCCTACTAGGTGTTTGGATCCATGAATGTAATAATGTTCACTCTGCAGAAAGACAGAGATAACAGGGATGCATTGATATAACCACCGGTGAAAAAGACACCAGCAGAGAATGTAAGAAAGTGATTGAAGTAGGGATAGGATTGCTCACAAATATTTAAACGAAAATTCCAGGCCACACGTGGTAACTCACCGTGTAATCCCACTACTTTGGGAAGCTGAGGTGTGAGGATTGCTTGAGGCCAGGAGTTTGAGATCAGCCTGGTCAGCATAGCCACAACCTGTGTCTAAAAAAATAAAATAACTAAAAATGACTAGCCAGGCATGGTGGTGGCATGTACCTGTAGGCACAGCTACTAGGGAGAGTGAGATAGGAGGACCGCTTGAGCCCAGGAGTTCACGGCTACAGTGAACTATGATCGCAGCACTGCACTCCAGCCTGGGCAACAAAGCAAGACCTTGTCTCTAAAATAAATTTCCTACCTCAGTGGTGTAGCAGGGCCAAACAGAGAGAAAAGCACCCTATCTGGATGGTGAGTGCCACGAAGGTACTCAGAAACCGGCCAGGTTTCCTGCGAGGGGCTTTTGTCTGTTTGAACATTCCACACAGGTTCATCTAAGCAGAGCAACTGTATCTGATAGAAGCAAAGTCTCTACTTAACAAATCACGAAGCTGAGAATGAGCATGAACAGCTAATGATCATCTTAATTAACCCACAAAACTTTATGCACAGCCAGTGTTCAGCCAACGTTTTGATCCTAGGCAGAAATCTATTAAAGCCAGTTAAGAGAATGAAAAGACAAAATCTGATGAATGCTTTTACCTTGGTGGATATAAAGGTTGGCGGGCTTGATAAATCTGAGAGTGATCTATTTGCCAATAGCAATATTACATTAAGTTGGGGAAACATCATTCCCTTAAATGCAAGCTAAGTGAGTGGTCTGAATAATGGCTCACAATTACATGTGTCCAGGGCCTGTTGAGGCTGGAAAGGATAGAATTCACGTCACTGCTTTAGAAGGAGCTCATTTTCTCCAAAGGAGTAGTTTCTAAGCTTGCCTTGAGTAGGAACTGGTTTCAGAATCTAATGGAAATTGTGGGCTGGCTCCTGGGATAATGCACATGATATGTGCACAGAATACTGGATGTTTCTTGGGGTGTTCACATTCTCTGAGATGCTCATCTGTGGGCTTCAGTTCCGAATCCCTGCTCCTAGGAGGCTTGAGGGTCTGGTGTATAGATTTTCAACTGCAAATGTGAGATGTCTTATTAGAATCATCTTTGAAACTTTTTTTTTTTTGAGACAGAATTTCCCTCTTTTGCCCAGGCTAGAGTGAAGTGTTATGATCTTGGTTCACTGCAACCTCCTCCCCTCTGGGTTCAAGCAGTTCTACTGCCTCAGCCTCCTGAGTAGTTGGGCTTATAGGCACCTGCCACCACACCCAGCTATTTTTTGAAATTTTAGTAGAGATGGGGTTTTGCCATGTTAGCCAGGCTGGTCTTGAACTCCTGACCTCAGGCGATCCACCCACCTTGGACTCTGAAACTTTTCAAAATACACTTTCCCCCATGTGATATGAAAGCATATTATTGGAGTCTTCCAGGAGGAAAAAAATGCAATAATATTGAAACTTAAGCATTTTGGAAAACACCCCAATATTTTCCTCCTTCCCTCCCTCCTTTCCTCTCTTTCTTTCTTTTCTTTGGAGATGGAGTCTCACTTTGTCACCCATGCTGGAGTGCAGTGGTGTGATCTCGTTCACTGCAACCTCTGCCTCCCGAGTTCAAGCGATTCTCCTGGCTCAGCCTCCTGAGTAGCTGGGATTACAGGAGTGCCCTACCATGCTCAACTAATTTGTTTTTTTTTTTTTTGAGATAGAGTCTCGCTCCGTCGCCAGGCGCCAGTCTGGAGTGCAGTGGCGCAATCTTGGCTCACTGCAACCTCCGCCTCCTGGCTTCAAGCAATTCTGCCTCAGCCTCCTGAGTAGCTGGGATTATAGGCACGTGCCACCATGCCCAGCTAATTTTTGTATTTTTAGTAGAGATGGGGTTTCACCGTGTTGGCCAGGATGGTCTCAATCTCCTGATC